ATTATATCCTGACAGTAGTACATAAGAGAGATAATATGACCTGGCCTGGACAAAAACAATTAATCAGAGCCAAGAAAGATAGTTGATTGTTGATTCATTCCTAGGGTGTAAAATACAGACGTGTTGGGACCTTGGGATGAAGACCCCACAGTCAACTATCTTTAAGCCTCCAACACAATTTTTTCTATTTTCTATTCGTTCTATTTTTTTTGGCTCTGATTGGTTGTTTTTCGTTCAGGCCCGGTGGAGTCTTGCAAATGCCATTAGTAGCACTAGGAGGTGCGAGGAACAAGATTTTTCACAGATTTCTGTCTCATGTATAACTGTCAGGATATAGTAAGTTTCAGCAAATATGACAAAAAGTATTTTTTTTTTATAAAAGTTACCTACAGCAGCTTTAATGCAGGTAAAAGTGACATTTTCGTTCTTTTAAGTCGGACCATTAAATGGATACCACAGCCACAGAATTTTAAGTGTGTTTTTATGTGTTTTGTTAGGTCAGGAGCTATTCAGTCATAAAATGACTAAGAAAAGATACAAGAATGTATTAATATAATAATAAACAGCAGATGAGGAGAGAGAATTGTGACATACCTGTGACACTGTGATGGTGCTTCCCCCGCCCTGAAGGCAAAAAAGAACGGGCTTTTTTACAGTACTGGACTCTGCAGACCTGACATTTCACATCCCGACCCCGACACAACAGATACAACATGCAACACTGAAACTTCTGTAGCTGACAACTAAACATTGACAGTCACAGGAGGTGACATATTAAATGAAATTATTTGGGGATTTTAGTTAAAACTCACTCAGAAGATGTAAGTATGTTTGCGGAAAGCATACTGTAATATAGAGTTTATTTTAAGAAAATTCCTATTCGGATGCCAAGATTGATCACCCTGGCATTATCACTTGGTTGATCAACCATGCCTGTTTGGTCTCCACCACACAGGCATAGTTATATATTTTGTTTGGCCTGATATGCACTATAGGTGGCGCTGTTGGCTGTGGACAGGCAAGATCTTTGGGCTGCAATAACCTTTGGTGGTTATGATTTTATCCTCCAAGCCAACAGAGAATAATTTTTTTTTCTAAATCAACACAAACAAATTCTGTGAGGCTATCAAGAAGCAACAAATGTGGGCTAAATGGCGGTTAAGGGATCGCCTTGTGATGGTGTTGTTTGAGTCCACCAGTGCCTGGTGGTCTCTATATATTGTCTTATTGTATTGTAAGGATGCACCGATTTATCGGCTGAACATCGGTATTAACTGATATCAGCAAAAAAAATACCTTTCTCCAACGCCAGTAGCCGATGATTATTTGTTCTATCTGTGTTGTATTAATTTCGCGCTGGCTAAATGTTGTATTTCCAACTCTGATATTGGAAAAATAATCAAAAGCACGGACAGTGAGAAAAGAAATAGACAGAGCTGCAACAAGGCAGAGATGCTCATCTTTGTAGATTTATTTGTTTTCCAGGCAACAAAGGAAAATAAATAACATTAAAAAAACATTGGCTATTGGCCAAATTGCTATTTTAAACATCGGTATTGATATCGGCCCAGAATTGGTGCATTCCAATTTTATTGTGCTTATTTACTGTCTTTCATGCTGCTTTGCAGCAAAAGAATATTCTCTTGTGGGACAATAAAGATCACAAATGAACTAAACAGACCCTCTTTTGGCAATTGTACAAAGTGTTGAAACCAGTGTGAAATTGTGCGATCATTCAGATAGTAGCAGGATTAATTTTTGGAGTCATGAGCTCGATATGGAAATTAAGCTGGGTAGTACGAAGAGTAGAGGCTAGTTGGTGGCTTTCACAGAGTCTCTTAGGTGGGATCTGTAAAGACAGGAACCTTTATCAGATTGGCCACTTCTAACCAATTGTAACTCAGTGACCGTCTAAAGAGCACCAGTAGAACTTTTTGTCATATTTGCTAAAACTTTGACTATATCCTTGCAGTTAGGCATGAGGACGATTAATCTGTGAATCAGGTTCTCTGCTCCGCCTAGTTGCTCCTAATTGCATTTACACGAATCAGTGGCCTAAAGGAAAAAAACATTTTTATTATTTTTTTTTTTTTTTACAGATTATCTGTCTTGTGTACTACTTTCAGGATATATTGAAAGTTACTGCAGCTTTAAATATTATATTATACTTATTCCAATATATTAATTCATTAATTTGTTATTGCAAGGTGTGAAGCCATTATAAGCATTATCTGAGATTTTTCATTATCCAATATCTTAAGAATAAGAAATATAACTCATTATAAGTTTTTAATGTTTGTTATTCTCAGATAATGCCATCATAATATGACAAGATGTGTGTGTGTGATCACCAGACACCTTGAGCATGACTTAATAACATGACACAACTATTAATCAAGGATTCATGGATGATAATTTATTGTCATTTACAATGCATGGTGGTAGAATGAAATTTAGATATAGTTCCCCTTATGATACTTATAAACTGATTAACACGTCATAAAATTTAAAATGATACAAATTTAATTTGAGTTGAGGAAGAATTTAACAGTCTCACAGCCTGTGGGAACAAGCTGTCTTTATATCTCGGGGTTTGGCAGCTTATCTTGTATAACAATAACAAAGTTTTTGCTAAATACATTTTGATACTTTTTTTTTCCTTACCTGGGAAACAGTGATGCTGCACTTTTTTGCGAGCTCCTCTTTGGCCTCCTCACTGGGGTATGGATTACTCAGGTGTGAATAAAAATACTCATTTAGAATTTCCGTGGCTTGTTTGCTAAAGTTCCGCCTTTTCCGCCTAAGAGAAGGAAAAGAGATGCGTTAATGATGAGATTCTAAGATGCCTGAAACAGATTTTTGGCTACATTACACAATACTTATTATTGTGTACTGCCACCTCCTGGTAAGTCCAGCTACACACTCCTTCGCACTGTTATGCACCTGCATAACACTTGATTTTCCCCCCCATGGATGTGCCTTAGCTGACTCTGACTGGCTAGTGTTTGTTTTGTTAGGTTTAGGCATGACGAGGGTTAGAAAAAGTGTGCTGTCTTGGTACAACTGTTACACTATGAAAATAAGAAATACTGTGTTGTTAATGAATTTCAGACAAGCTGAAGTTGTCTTGATATAGGGCGGCTGTGGCTCAGAG